GTGATCGGAACGGTCGCCGGAGCGGTAAGGGTGGTGAAGGTGGGATGGGTTAATTATATTATATTATAATGAAATATTTAATAATAAATTAATTTAATAATTTATTATTTCATAAATAAAAATTTTAAAAAAATTAAAAAAATCTGATTTTGGTAACTTTAAACTTGTGTTCTTATTTTTGAAATAGACTAAACTTATACTCTTGAATATGTAATCTTCCCTTAAAATTAATACCGAATTTTGGGTCACCTCTATGGGTGGGCAAAAAAATCGAAAACCCGATTAAACCGATCGAACCAAACCTAGTCGGGTCTGTTTAGGTTTGTTTGAACCAAAAAATCAGTTTGGTTCGAATAATTTTAACCATTATAAAGTCAAGTCGGGTTGGGTTGGTTGCGGTTTAAGCAACAAACCCATCAATTAACTTATCCAACCCGCAAATACGTTTTTTTTTTTTTAATTTTAAAATTCATCTTCTTAAACTTTAAAAAAATAAAAATAAAAACACAAATATAATTCTTTCTTAAATAATTTATTTACCGTCTACGCTTTTCCTACCAAAGCTCCGAATTTTGAAATAAAAGAAAGCAAGAAGAAGTGTTTATTATAAATTTCAAATTTAGATTGTATCATTAGTTTTCATTTTTGATATAATTGTTTGCTGGTAACTATCGGATATATACGATAATTTTGGAAAAATCAACCCACTACCATTTCTATATATGTATAGAAAGGCAATTTTTTTAAACTAAAAATAGATACGTAATCTTTTTTAACTCGCACCAATGTCCAAACCGATTAACCAAACCAAACTGACACTAACCGATTTGGTTTGATTTGGTTCGGTTTCAATGATTGGATTGATTGGGGTTGGATTGGAATTTATCCAAACCGACTAAGTCTGTTTCGGTTATGGGTTGGACTCAAAACCAAACCAACTTGAACCTCTTCGTTGTTAAGCGCTATACGATTTGGGAAGGATAGAAGTTTACTTTAGTGAAAAATATGTTTTATAATAATGATTTTTTTGGAGAACGTATAGTAGGAAAGTAGGAAAAAGTTTTAGATTTAGCCCGTTTGTTTCACGTTATTTTGTAAATGAAATTGAAATTTTTGACCATTTTTTCATAAGTGAGTCCCACTATGAGACAAGTCAAAGATTGTAGCTGATCCATTTTGCAACGGTAAAAATTCTTCTAATAATGTGAAACCAACAGGGTGTTATATGTAAAATTATTTTATGATGAGAATGTGTAACTGAAAATGAATTTTTATATAATGGGCTCAAATATGGTTTTAAGCTCCTGTTTGAGCCCCATTTTTTGAACTAATATATTTTGTAATAGTGATTTTTTTGAAAATGTATGTTTAAAAGCTAGTGTAAACTTTGGAATTTACGTGTAAAATTATTTTATTGAAAAAATATATAATTAGAAATGAGTTAAAAAAAAATAAATTTCTATATATTGGAGTTCAAACGGGGGCTTAGTTAAATGGACTACAAATTACATTGAATAAGATTCTTGCAAGTGGAAATTACACGGCCAGAATTTTAAAGATTCTATTTCAAAAATCAAATTGAAGGTTTCACTTTTCGAAAATCTGATATTTTATTTTTAAATATGAAATATTAATTGTAAAATCTGATATTCTATTTCAAAAATCAAATTGAAGGTTTCACTTTTCGAAAATCTGATATTTTATTTTTAAATATGAAATATTAATTGTAAAATCCTCATCCCAAACCCTGATCAATTTCATTTCAATTTTCCTCATCCTCATCTCCTCTCCTCTCCATCACTCTCTCTACCTTTTCTCTTCTCCACTCTCCTCCTTCCGTCGGCAGCCCAGCCTCCACGAGGCGGCGCAGCCTTGTCCGACGGCTTTGTGCACAAACACAAAGAGGGGCCCTTATTCGTGCGAATCACCGCTGCATTTTTTTTTATTTCTTAGTTTTTTGCAATTTATGCGGGGGAGTCGTGATCTATGGCGAATGGTTCGCAATCGCTGATGCGGTAGCAGTGGCAGTAGGGTGATGGTGGGTTGTGCGCTGCTTTGTGACTTGAGGATGGTTTTTGTTAGTGGTGGCGACGATGGATTTGGCTATGGTGGTGGTTGTTTTGGATCGACGGTGTATTTGATGGGGTTTGTTGGTTTTGGTAGTGGCGACAATGGTGGATCTGGTGATTAGAGGTGATTTGTTAGTGGTTGTAGTGGTGGTTTTGAAATTGAACGTGGTAGTTTATTGGAGGTTGTGGCGGCAGAGACGGTGAAGTGGTAATGCTGCTTTTGATTGGTTTCATGGTATATTGTGGTCAGGTGGTGTAGATGGTGGCGATGTAGATGGTGCCAGTGTTGGTGGTAGTCGACGACGGCGATGATGGTTGGATTCGGGACTTTTTTTGGGTTGTGGGATGGGAAGGGGGTTCGTGGTGGCGGTCGTGGTGATGTCGATATTTTTAGATGATGGTTTGCTGTCGGAGGTGGTGGTAGTGGTTTCGACGACAGAGTTTCGGTTGCCAGGCTGTTGGTGGCAGTTGTGAGGCGGTAGTCACAAGTGTTGGTGGTGGTGGTCACATATTATTTGGTTGTTTGTGACCATTAAATTGATTAATCTGTGATCGATAAATAATATTCGACCAATGAAAAAGATAAATTGTAACCAAACAATAATGCGACCTAAAAAATTATTAATTTGTGACTGTCTAATAAGTTATGACATTTAATATTTGTGATTTGTGACCTATAAATAACTTGTAACGTTTCAATTTTTGATTTGTAATCGATAAACAAATTGCGATCTATAAAATTTTTGAATTGTGACTTTAAATAATTTTTGATATATAAAATTTGTGATTTGTGACCAATGAATAATATGTGACTTATTAATTTTATAAATTTATAATCGATGAAAATGTTGTGACCTATAAAATTTTCGATTTGTGATTGTAAAATAATTTGTGGCTTATACAATTTTTTAATGTGACCGAGAAATAATTTGTGACCAATTAATTTATAACATGTGACCAAATTATATGAAATTGTGACTTTAATATATTAATTAATAAAATATATATTTAATTAATTAATTTATAAATAAAATTTTAAAAAGTCCGAAATTTTAAATTTTAAACCTTGATATCTTAAATTTGAAATCAGGAAAACTTAAGCTCTCAGTTACGTAATCTTCCCTTCTTGCAATGCTGCTCCACTCCTATGCAAATGACCCGTGCTCAGGACTGAGCCCTTCTACATAATTTTGCATTGCTCTTAATTGATTTTCCACCTCTACACTTAGTTTTTGTAGGGCAAGAGGTCAATTCTATAGCAAAAATTCTTGCATCGAACGACCTTTCGTGTTATCAAGATAGGACTTGGCAGGGGTGATAATACTTAGCCGAAAGGTCCTATTGGTTTCAAAAATAAATAAATATAAGCTCCATCTTCAAACTTTTTTTTTTTTTTTGATTTAAGATACAATTTTTCTAAACATCACATGCCGAACGAACCTTTATTAAAATGGGATTTCATTCTCCAATTTGAGCGTTTAGCTATCTGAGCACAGCATAAGAAAGTGCATCCAGTGACAGAAGCCCAAGCACACAAATAAGATCCATAACCCCATTAATGAATACTGAAGCCACTCCACCTTATTACAAACAAATGACATTGGATAATTGGACATTCCAATTCCATGTTCCATTGCAGCATTAGTAACCTCAAAAGAACAAAAAGCCTTCATTTAACCAAAAGAGGATGAGCTATGTCGTGCACATCAGGATCTATCATCCGCACTCTAGCCAGCCCCAAGGATTATTAGACACAAAACCCAGGGGTTTGTCCACGTAACCGCTTAAGACAACAGAATGTCACTGAAAAATGAGAGTTACTCGACATGAAAATTATATTAAGCCGCCTTGGGAGCTTTAACATTATCAGGAACAGCAAGTTCTGGAGGTGTTTCACGAACAACGCCCAGTATTGAATCGTATTCTTCATCACGCTTAGCAAATTTCTTGCGTAGAACCTTTTCAAACTCAACAACATCCAAGCTCTTAGCATTTTCAGCTGCATGAGCCTGCGCTAAGTTGGAATAATTGATTGCTGACTGGGAAATGAAGGCAATTTCTTCTTCTGTGAGCTTCCTCAGGAATTTTGCTGGATTTCCTCCCCACACCTGTATTTGAAAAATCAGGTTTAGCAATGTTCTCCGTTTGTTATAGTCCTTCCATTGTGTTACAACAGTAGTTCAATAAAATTTGCAGTTTACCATTTATTAAATTATTGTCTCATCCTAAACTTATGCAGTCAGTCAGGACTCAATTTCCTCAATTGAAACAGATTGAAATGTTGCTACTAGTTTGCCAACGATTAGGACAGATTTATATACTTTTTGGTAGAAATACGACAAAGAAGTTAATGAAATTTAAAATGGGTAAAATTAGATATAGCTAATTAAAGATTTTTGAACAGTCTATCCACAAAAAATAAAAATAAAAAAAATATAATTTTCGTATTACCACAACAAATATACAAGAAACAGAAATCAGCAATTAGTAATAAACAACAATAATTGATTAACTCAGAGTCAAACCTCTCCAGAAGGTATTCTTGTATTCTGCCTCACAAGAGCACCAGCTGCAACCATAGCTTGTTTCTCTAGAACCACCCCGTCAAGCAATGTTGCGCCCATCCCGACAAATGTCTCGTCCTCAACAGTGCATCCATGTAAGACAGCACTATGACCTGTCCAGGTCAATGTGGAAGTTATTCCTCGGGATTCAGAGCATCACAAGGATCAGGCTTTTATACAAAAGTTGCTTTAACGTAACGAACCTACAGTGACGTTGTTGCCAATAGTAGTTGGCAAGACCTTCCCACTAAGATTGGATTTAGCAACGTGAACAAGGGAATTATCTTGTATGTTCGTCCCAGTCCCAATACTGATGCTGTTAGCATCACCTGCACAAATTCATTATATAACCACAAGCAGAAAGACAAGCAAATTCTATGCAACATGAATCACCATGTAGAGTTGTCAAAATGGGCAGGCCAGTTCGAAGCGGCTCACTCACCTACTGAACCGGCACAGCCCATGTCAGTCACGGTCCTGGCCTAGCCCAGCCTCCAAAAAATTACACAGACCAGACTGCCGGGTAGCCCATTCCTTTACCGGGCTGGTTCACCACAACAGCTAAAAAGAAGAAAAGAGGGGAGGTCAAAATGGCAAAAAGTGCAAAATGCCAAATTCTCAATTCCTGATGAACCAAAACCAACTATGTCGTCAAAAAAAAAACCAAGACTTGCAAGGCAGGCTTTAGTAGTTCAAATATCAAGGAACCCATCCTTTGTAATTGAATCAAGGGAAGCTAGAAGCCTTAGTTCAAATACCAATGTCGAGGTGACTTGGTTTTATATAGTCTGATGCACAAGGATATTGTGTGTAAAAAGATAAGTAACGTATTTACAAACATAAAATGAATGTTCACAAACGGCAACAAATTTAAATTTTCTGCAAAATTGACATTTTCCCTGGTCAAATCTGCAGATGACAGCTAACAGGGCTCCTCTCTTCCTTTATTCATTTTGCATATATTTTTTGTTTTTTAGAAATTTACAGAATGGACTGCCTGGCCAGTGCATGTATGAAAAAATATGATTTTTTTTGAAAAAAAAATATAAGGAGAGAATGAAGGCAACCAATGGTTTTGCCTGCAACAGCTTTCATTAAAACAATCAGCTAGTGCCTTTATTTTAAGTAACAGGGCCCTCTTTTCCTTTATTTATTTTTATACATATTTTATTTACACAATAGACTGCCAGGCACATCATGCATGCATGAAAGAATATGAAATTTATTTGAAAAATAATTAGGAGAGAAAAAAGGCAACAATCTTTATTGAAGGCTTTTGCCTGCAACCATTTTATTAAAGGTTGTAGTCTCACTTGTCAAATCTGCAAAAAAGTTAAAACTTCTACCATTTGGTAATGTTCATTTTTTGTTTATAGATACATTAAACAAACATTCCTAAATTTGCTTTGGCAGCACTTGGTATAAAACCAACTCACCTTGAACTTGATATTTGAACCAAGGCTTTTGGCTTGCCAAGATTGAAATACTAGTATGGGTTCCTTGATATTTGAATCAAGGCTTGCTAGGTAAGCCTTGGTAGTTGGTTCATCAGAATTTTGCATTTTGCACTGTTTATGGCTGTCCCAATTTTTTAATGGTTTCGGTGAACTGGCCTGGTACAGGGACAACCTACCAGGCTGTCTGGTCTGGTGTGATTTTTGCAGGACAGGCTGCCAACAGGGAACTGACATCATCTAGATTGGACACAGAAACAAACAAGATACTGGATGTATGCAAGGAGATGCAGTAGCATCTCCAAGATTTATTGGTGGATCATAAATTGACAAGGACCATAAACCTACTGCAATGACAAAATGTAAACTTCCTTAAAAGATTAATAATTAATACCAAGAAAGAAAACTATTATCTACTTCCTACTTTATGCCTTCAATATACATGTATTTTTGAAAGGGAAAATTGTAGACATGGTCCCCTACATTTGGGTTCAATGGCACTTGGTCCCCCACCTACTTGCCTTGGCATTTAGAACACCTTCAACCATGGAATACATAAATCCTTTTTGGATGGTTTCCATCCAAAACACGTGTTCCATTTTAAGTATACATAATACTACCCTTGCATTCAACTAAGAAAAAGATAGGCGTAAAAAGAGAAATTATGAATAAAGAAGAAATAAGGAAACTTAAAAACATCAAGACAATAAACCCTTTTTTGATCCCCGTTGTCTAAAAACTCATTTTTTTCCAAACTCATTTTCAATCACATGTTCTCACAATAAAATAATTTGCACGTAAACCTAAAACTTTTTCCACCCACATTCTCCGAAAATTTACTACTAAAAAACTCATTTTCAACAAAAATTGTGGCTCAAACACATCCTAAGAAAAATCGGAAAATTGTATGTTTTTTCTTCTTCAAAATTTTCCTTTTTATATTTACATTTTTGCTTATCAAAAGAAAAGGCAATGGAAAGAAAAGATACCAGTTTTTTCACCAATAAAAGGTTTAAGTATCTGAGACTATGATTAACAATCTCTATTCGCCGCATTGAGGATAAAAAGCGCCCAAGTATTTCAAAGTGTTTCCATGGTGTTTTCCAAGGTAACAAACTTAGCATCTCTATTAGATATAATGGTATAGCTTAAAACATGAAAATAAACAACTTCAGAAACAATCTATCAACATGGATGGAAAATGGAATGTAAAGAGCCATTTAGGGAATATTTTGACAACTACATGAAAGTAAATTTTAATTATATAGGTAACCCAAGGATAAAGTCCATGCTAAGATCATGGCAAGGATAATGTGGGACAAGAAAGTTAGTGTGTTTTAAGTGTTTCTGTTTCTTAATTTACCTAATTGACAAGTACAACACTTCCATTGGGGTTATTGTTCTACACTCATGATATTTATGCCACTTAATTCGTTATTTTGTTATCCTTGAGAGAGCTTTATGGGCGTTTTAATGTGTTTTTGAATGTTATGATATAGGTTGATGAAATTGAAGAAAATAAGCAAAAGTTGGCAAATTGGAGAAACGGACTAAATTGTAAGACATCCAACGTTCGAGGACTATAGTGCAAATACTCAAAAGTTGTGTGAGACCTCATAATGAAAATCCGAGAGTGCTACGAGTCAATTGGATGAAAAAAGAAGTCAAAGGGATCAAATATAATCAAAGTATAATCATACATCAATTTCCAACCAAAAAAGTTATGTCCATGATTTTTAGTCTCATATTGAGACTCATTTTTGACATAGCAAATGTTCGAATTGAAAAATGATATCTGAAGTACAGTTGTAGTCCTTTGAGTTATCTTTCTAACGCATCTTGAGTCGCCTCAACCGGACATTGAGAGAAAAAGTTATTATAGAACTTCCAAAGGACGCGTATGGCTGAATTTTCACCCATCATGGACACCGCAGCACCTCTGTCGCTGAAAATCAATAGCACCATGGGGGCCGCTGGGCGAGAAAACGGGTTTTTAATATTTTTGGACTCTTTTCTTGGCCCAATTCAACTCTAATTCATCCAAGACTCCAAAAATACTATAAATACATGATCAAATACCTATTTTTAGGGATTTGAAAGGGAAAAAAATCAAAAAGACTCGAGAAATCAAGCAAGGAGCCGCGAAGAACATCGAAGGGAATTCCAACTAAAGCTTCAAAAGAGTTTATCTTTCCCTTCTTCCTTATGTTCTCTCATATAAATTGTATAAATTTTATGAATTTCATCATGAACTAAACAATTTATCTAAGGTTTAATGTAGCCAAACTTGATATTATGATTTGATTTTGTCATAATTATTTCTATTTGATTTTTCATATATATTTGATTGTGTCATGAAATTAATGCTTAAATTAATTAGACACTAATTGAATAAATAAATGCTAGTTAATTTCGGCACTCGAGAGAGGAAAATTTAGGCGGGATCATAGGATTGACAGTGTGTAAATTTTATGGGTTTCGAGAGAAAGTATATGATCTATGGTAAATGACGTTTTAGCCATCCACAATGGGAGTTGTAGTTGGAATATCACTTTTCAGAGGGGTTTACAGGATTGGGAACTAGATGACTATGCATAGTTTCTAACTTATTTGTGTGAGGTGCATATTCGGGTAGGAGATGATGATCGTAGCCTATGGAGGTTGACACGGAATAATATTTTTTCAGTTCGCTCTTATTTTAGATCTCTTTTAGGACCGTGGAAAGTTCATTCCTCTAGATGATGGTGTGGCATTGCAAATTGCCCCAACGAATGACATTTTTACTGTGGACGGTTGTGAGGGGACGGGCATTAACGATGGATAATCTCCGAAAAAAAGGCTTTCATGCTATCGAGTGGTGCTATATACACGGAGCGATGGGGAGACGCATGACCACTTGTTCATACACTGTGACGGTATCCGTTGGCTGTGGAATAGTATTCTGACTTCTTAACATATAGATTGGGTGTTGCCTAAACGTATAGAGGACATGTTGCGGCCATGGAGAAGGAAACTTCGTGATAAGGATATCAAGCTAGTATGAAATCTTATCTCGGGATGCATTGTATGGTGTGTGTGAAGGGAAAGGAATAACTGATGCTTTGAAGATCAAATACGGACCACAGAACAATTTAGAGAATTATTTTATCTAACTTCGTACACTTGGTTTAATGCCGCGACTAGCAATTTTATAGAGGGGCTGTCTAACTTCATTTCTTTTCTTTCTTATTTAAACTGATAATACACTTCCTGTGTATTCTTCTTTGATTTATAAAATTATTTGATTACCTATAAAAAAAATAAAGGAGAGAGATTTATATNATCATGAACTTAATAAAATCTTTGATTTTAATTCGGAATAGAGATATTTAAATTGAATTCTAAGATTAATTTATAGCCAGTACTCGAGAGATGGGAGAGAAATACATTAAGATTCTTGCTTTTAAACATGAGAAAATTGGCTAGAATAGTTAGACATAATTGAATCATAATTGAAAGTTAGGTGAAATCATTACCCGAGCCTTTCTTATATTGACTCATTCGTTTACATTGCATTCTTTGAATTAATTACTAAAATCATCGCTAAATTAGTTAACGATATTGATTTCAAAATTTATTTCTCCAGATAAATTAAAAGCTAAAATAATTATAGTACTTAGTATAAAATCAAATATCAATCCATGTGGGTTCGACACTCTTGCTCTAATACTATATTACAAAACTTGATACCGTACACTTACAATATAATTCACGTTGCATAAAACGCGTGACAGCTTTAGTATCCATACACATTATCCAAGATACGTCCTCCTGTTGAGTGAGTATAACATGCACTATACAAGGACAAAGGCTATTGTGAATGAAAAAACCTTAGCTAGAAGTCATGTTTCCTATTTAACTTAACTCCCCCTCCAAGGAGCTAAGTCAATTGCATGTTAAATGTTTCTCAATGGGGGCAACTCCTGATGTAATTCCTAAGATGTAACATCCCAATATTCATCTAGCAAAAGGTAACCCCAGACTAAAATATGATCTTATTCTTCAGCATATACCTAGAAGTAGACTTTCTGTTATTGCAGGCACAATTCTAGAAGATATTAGTTATTTCCATGTAATATTTATTAGTTTTTGAAGTTATGAAAATTTCCTACTTTTTATTCTAGTAAGTTACGCTTGTTAGAAACTTGTACATATCATGCTACTGTTACTGAATAATTAGGTCATTGACTACAATATTTTCCGTAACAGAAGTTTCCATCAAAATTTTCTATTCTTCCTCTATGTTCTCCCTTTCTCATTATTGTACCTACATGTACACTACTGCAGGAGAGTTTATAGTGTTTACCAAGTAGTGTGAAGGAGCATTGAAGTAAAGCTTTAAGTCTATATTTGGTTGTTCCAATTTTGGATGAATTTACATTACAAAATGATCTAAATTTTTTTTATGTAATATCATCATAGAGGATGGGACAAAATAGGTAATTACTTACAAATTAGAGTTTGGGAGATAATATTATGAAAACAAAGAATGTAAAATAAGGTAAGATTAGACCAAGTACACGAAGTGTAGTGTTTTAAATGTAAATTACTTGCACGAAGATAGGAGATATTAGGGGTCATAATGTTTAACTGGAAGCGATTTTGATATGTCAATTCAATTATTCATGCCAAGGAGACAATGGAAGGGATGTTCCTCAATGGATTATTGTTTGAAGTGTTGAATGGAGGATTATTTAGAGGGTTGTGAACAACAAATTTCAAATCTAAAAGATCAGAAGGACACTAGTACAAGATGAAATTGCATGTTAGGTGATGCCGATTGCAACTAACAAGAACAATTAAGAAGAAGAAATTAGGAAGAGAGAAATGGGAGGAAGATTATTGTTTTTATTCAAATTCAAATGTGTAGATTACAATCAACGAGCCTCATTTTATAGGTTCTAAATTACATCAAAATGGAAAATTACAACTAATAAGGAAAACTAGAATTTCCTTTTAAGAAGGAGACAAACCCACTATCTTACCAAAGTCAATAAAAACACTCCCAATAAGAGTTCTTTTCATTTCCTTTTTCTTTTTAACTGGACAACATGAGAGATCATCATATACATAGACAAACAAATCAACAAACTAAGCCCTACTCCCGATAAGAGTTGTTCACATAAATCCTTTCCCTCACTCTAAACGGTTAATCAATGAACAACAAACACTCTTAACTAAGAGATTGTGTCCGTGTCGGACACGTGTCATGTTGAACACCAACACTCTTTGGAGATTGGGGCAAGTGTAGGACAACCCAGGTGTAGTGTCCTAATTTTTATATATTTTTTATAAATTTCTAACACTCGAAGGATACTTCAAGGGCATCACTCAGACAAGCACCCAGTATGCCATGTGTCCCATCCTATATTAAAAGTATAAAAATAAAGATATAATATATAAATGTACAACTGTACATGTCCAAAATTCATGTTTTCACATGTCCGTTCCCGTGCTTTTTAGCTGTAAATTGCTACATCTGCACGATGGTCTAAAGCAACTAGATTTGAAGCAACGACAATATATAATCTTAGAGATTTAATATTTACGAATGGGGATCTCTTTTGGACTATGCAAGGCATGTCCTAACCATCTAACTAGTGATTCCCTTATTATATCCTCAATCCGTACCACCTCTAATTGTTTGAAATATTGTCATATCTTATTTTACCCATTCTAGTATAATTGTATATTCATTTTAACATCCTCATTTTAGCTACATTGATTTTATGGTCATCTCATCCGTTAATAGCCCAGTACAATAGAGCATTGTATGTCTGACCACTATTTTGAAAAATTGGCTATAGGAATCTTCACACAACGCTGTATACTGGTTCCACTTAACCCAAAACTTTTGTACTCCGAAGTACTTGAGTTTCTAACTTACGATCAACCATGTCATTACCGAATAACAAACACCAAGGAACTTCATTGTACCGTGAGCTCATCCACCATAAAAGTAAAAAGATATACAAATAGATAAACTGCATGAGAGAAAAAGTTAAATGTTCTATGCAATATATTTCAAACACCATTGCAGACAATGCTTGGGACTCACTTCTGCTAATATTGGGCCACATCATTTACCAAAACATGTAACTTCTGCTAATCACGGAAACAAGGAAACTTATGTATTGTTTAACAGTCTATATATTACAAAAATGTGAAGTATGTTTTAGTTCATAGACAAAAAGTATGAATACCTTTATTGGACCCTCGTCAGTATAGCACTTCAATCTAAGTATGACTATACTTCAAATTAAAAATCACGCATTTGGCTTTTGGCTTTCAAAAGTATACACTTAAAAGTGTCACACAAAACTCAAAACAAATTATTAATATCCTTTTGAATCAGAAAAGGTTGTTCTAGTTGAACTTAAGAAGAAAGATGTTTATACATCAAACTTATCAATTAAGTTTGTAGTAGGCATTAAAAGGTGTAAAAAAAACATATAAAGAGTGATAATGATTTATAATTATCATATTACAACATAGGCATAACTGAACCTTGACATTAGTGCACATGATATCGCAAGGAAAATTGAATGTTCAGTTTTAGAGAAGAATTTCTGAATTTGAGATGGTTGCTTAGATGATAGGGAATAATTGCTTAAAGAATCTTTAAGCAACTTATGGCAATTAACAATTCAAGGAAAGAGTGGTAAGCTGCTGCACAACTGTTCTGCAATAAAGTTGTAAGCTTATTTTAATTGCGCATAAGCAAGTAACAATGGAACTAATGGGGAGCCATCTGTCCATGAAAATGTTAAAAAAGACATTTCTTAACTCAATGAAAAGTCATGATTCACAGTTGAAAGAGTGAGAAAAGGACATAACAAAGTAATAAAAGATGGGGAAGAAAAGGGGAAACATTTAAATTGCTATCTTACTATTCTTTATGTCGAAAGTATATACTCTCAACTTAAACACTAATTGGGTTTTTCTATCAAGTAGAATGTTAAAAATCTTCCATCACTTCTATTCAAGGAATGACTAGAGATAACATGCTCAACATTAACATGCATATATTAATTATGGACTCAATTTTGAAGTTATTCATATTTGTCTACTACATAAATGAATTCCCTGGAGACAGAAATGAAGTTTATCATGTTTGGTTAGCTGACATAATTGAAATTAAAATGCAATAAACACTGGCTATTTTTAACTTGTTAAGACACTTACCTCTGAGAACACATCCATACCAAATAGAGGAATTAGAACCAACATGAACATCACCAATTAGCGAAGCACTTGGTGCCACAAATGCACCCTTATCAACGACAGGAACTTTGTCAAACAAGTTCATGAGGGTTCTATGCCTCGAAACTGGTTAAAAAAATGTATATTAGTCATATCTCAAGAAAATACATTCATAATAAAATTAAAAAACATTCAAATAAAATATACATATATCAGTGAAAAATAAGTGCTAGAATAATTGAACTAAAGTAATTGAGTTCCATGAAAATTTCTGACATAGATAACAACAAAAGTAGTTCGAAAAGAAAATTTGTGACATTGATATTCTACGGTCATAAAGCTAGGGAACAGAATGATCGGAACCATCATGACCACAGAATAAATTACCACTACCTTGACGAACTACATCTATGGGCACTGCAATCTCCTGCCTTACAACAGGGTAAATCTCCTAAAGCTTGTTGAATAATGTATTAGGAAACTGATTCATACTAAAAAAGAAGCTCTTATTTCTTTACAGAAGTTCCCAAATCAAATTTGCTATAATATTGGTCAACTTCGTTGAGATCTCATTCTACTAAGAAATTTCATAGCATTGGTTGTGGTACTAATATTTGCAATTAAATATTTGATCTTTAAACACAAAAACCGATAGTTACAGAAGCCTATTCTGCAGTGTCAGAAATGTGTAGTGAACACTGATTTGAAACGAATTAGAACAAAAAGTGAATGAAAGCATATGGTGGTCGTTAGTGAACCTTTAAAAGAAAATGAACTTCACTCAGATGCCAAAGACTGGAATCCTAGGAAACATGATTCTGCACTAAAACATTCACTCCATAGCCCATACCTAGAATAAACAATAGAAAGTAAGAATCACGTATGTGGAGTGTTCTATGTTAAACCATGTAGACTGCATCAGTATCAATTGTCTATATTTATATCCAAAACAGAGGAAAACTAGATCCAAGTGCACTGAATTGTATTTTGTCGGATATTATTCCACTCAAAAGGAGATATAAGTGTTATCATCCTCGATCCATGAAATTCTATGTCTCGGCTGATGTAACTTTCAATTAAGATAAATCCTATTTCACCACTCATCTTCAAGGGGAATTTTATGGAAGATAAGGGTCGGGATTAATCATTCTCGTTGACCTCTCTTCGTTGCCTATTCCTCCAAACCCCATGGTGCCAATTCCTTTTTAAACAAGTGGAGTTTATTTCCCCGAGTGAACCCGTGTTCCAGTAGACCAGTTAGGTGAACCTTCATGTGATCGGGTTGTTGAGACATCAAACAGAAATAGTAAATCAATAGTTTCTATTGATGATAAGATGACTGATCAAGTGTAATCAGGAGGAAAGTTTCTAATATTGATCTGCTATACATCCAAGAACCTAACCTCAATCCTGAGAATAAGATAACAGTTTCTAACCCTCTTTTACAAATTGAATCCGAAATCCAATCTGACCATGACCTTCCTATTGCCATCAGCAAAGGAGCTAGGGGATGAACTAAGCATCCTCTATATCCACCTTCTCATATAGTGTCATTTGAAAAGTTTTCACCATCTCAAAAATCTGTTCTCGTTAGCCTAAACAGTGTTGTCATTCCTTACGTTTATCCGAGGTATTATCTAATGAAACTTGGAAACAAGCTATTAATGCAGAGATGGAAGCGTTAGAGAAAAAAAAAACATTGGAGTTGGTGAACTTGCACGTAAAAGACATCAGATGTAAGTGGGTGTATACCATGAAGTATAAAGCAGATGGATCACTCTAGAGGTACAAAGCCAAATTGGTGACTAAAGGACATACTCACATGTGGTGTAGATTACCAAGAGACGTTTGTCCCGATCGAAAAGATGAATACTGTTAGAGTTTTGTTGTCTTTGGCAACCAACTACAACTAGGATCTACATCAATTTGACGTAAAAAAATATATTCTTTTCATGGAGACCTTGAAGAAGAAATTTATATTAGTCCCTCCAGGCTTTGGAAATAAATTAGCCACTAATCAAGTATGTAAACTCAAGAAAGCCTTGTATGGCTTAAGCAATCTCCGAGAGAATAGTTTGGAAGATTTGCGAAGATGATGATAGTTATGGGATACAAACAAAGCCAAGCAGATCACAGACTGTTTATTAAACGCTCGAGCTTAGGGTGAGTGACAGCTCTTCTTGTTTATGTTGACGACATCATTTTAACATGAAATGAAGTGGAGCAACAATTTCTAAGCAAATGCTAGGCAAAGGAATTCAAAATTATACAATTGGGAAGATTAAAGTACTTCCTAGGAATTGAGGTTGCTCACTCCAAGCATGGAATCTTCATCTCCCAACAGAAGTATATTATAGATCTTCTCAATGAAATGTGAAAATTGTCATGTAAACTAATGAGCACGCCAATAGATCCTAATCACAAGCTTGGAGGAGCTGAGGAAGACATTGCTGTGGATAAGGGAATATACCAATGTCTAGTCGGGAGACTCATTTACCTTCAAACACACGGCCGACTATAGCTTATGCTCTTATGTGATTAGTCAATTTAGGCACAACCGAAAGAAGTCCATCAACAAACTGCTAACCAAGTGCTTCAATATCTCAAAGGAAATCCCGATAAAGGCATCTTATTCAAAAGAAACTCTGGTTTAGTGTTGGAGGGCCAACACAGATGCAAATTATACCAAATCCATAATTGATAGAAGATCAACATTTAGGTATTGTACCTTTCTTGGTGGAAATCTGGTTACATGGAGAAGAATAAAGTGGCGTAGCAAGGTCTACCATGGAAGCAAAATTTTGAGCAATGATCAAGGAGTTTGCGAGTTGTTATAGCTAAAGATGATCCTTGAAGACTTAAAGATCAAGTGGGAAAGTCCGACAAAACTCTATTGCAATAACAAATGTGCGATCAACAATGCTCGTAACCTAGTATAACCATGGTTTAAAAAGGCGGTAGTGAGGCGCATGTAGTATACCTCGAAGCGGTATTTTTTAGGCTAAAAATATGAGGCTTATGCCTCTAAATCTGAGGAATTTAAAATTTGAATTTTCAATTTTATGAAAAGAAATCAGAAAGGGTCCTTAAAAAAGAAAATGACCCATTTAAAAAGGCATTTTGGGCCCAAACAAAACAATAAAATATCTAGAAAGCTAAACGGCAGCCAGAAATTAGAGGGAAAGAAAATGTCACATTTCAATTGGTGGATGATGAAGATGATTTTGCAGAAATTGAGAGGTGTGAAGAGGAAGATGATGGGGAAATAGAGTGATTTCTAACTTCTGTAATGCTTTTTCTTTTTTCTTTTTTTTTTTGCTAAACATCTTCTTTCTTTAGGTGGACTATGTCTCAATATGCTAATGGCTATATATCATATTTACTATATGCTCCAACTTTAATTTTTTGGTATTTTTGTATTATTTTATAATTCTTTTACTTAAATTTTTTGTTTTTTATAAGGCTTAGGCTTTAATCCCCATCGAGGCTTACGCCTCGCCTCATAAACAAAAATCGTCTAAGTACTTAGTTTTGCCTTTTTAAACATTGAGTACAACATTATCGAACCAAACACATAAAAATAGACAGGCACTTTATCAAGGAAAAGTTGGATAGTGGACTGATGTCCACACCTTATGTATCTACTGATTGTCAACTTGTCGATATATTTACAACATTTGAGACGTCCTTATCCAAGCAAGGAATGAAAAATATCAATTCACTAGCTAGAGGGAGAGTGGAAAACATGATTTGTTATCCAAGGAAATTAGTTATTATAGGAAATAACATAATAGCTATATATTCCTAAAGTTAAGGAGATAATTCGACACATCCTATGAATCTGGGATCTGATGCAAATTAATCCTTATGAATGTGGGATCTGATGTAAATTATTAGATTAGTTTCTATTTTTGAAATTAGTACAATGCGTAGAAGAGAAATAATTATTCTTCTCAATTTCTCTCACACTTTCAAAAATAAAACCATTCACTCGTAATTCATCATTTTTAGAAGAAAAATAGGAAAATTACTCCTATAGTCCCCATTCTATAATTAAGCCCTTGTTTGGGCTCCATTAAAATTAACTTTTAGAAAAAAAAAATGTATTTTAGAATAGTGATTTTTTGGAAAATGTATGGTTAAAAAAGAAGGAAAAAATTTGGGTTTCCTTGTAATATTATTTTATTGAAGTATGTGTGGTTGGAAAAAAGAAAAGAAAAAAATATATTTAAATTTTAATGGAGCCCAAATAGGGCTAAATGAACTCTTGGCTCTCCATTAAATTATTTGCAGCATTTAGATCCCAACTTTCAATTTCTCGTAGCACTTAAGTCAATAGATTCCTTTGCGGATGAAAATGTCACTTTTCGCACTAACACACCATTTAAAGGGTATAGTAGGTAAAACACTTCCAATTAAGACAAAAATATTATATAAAAAAGAAATTAAACACAAGAGAAAAGAAGTAACGTCGTTTTTTTCTAAAAAGAGAGAGCTAATCTTTGTATCCCACTCTCACCCCTCTTTCACACACCTCCAACTATGCAGCCCCTTTGACCCATGTGTGCAGACCCATACCCCGTTCACCACCTACGCAATCCTCCACCCCTGCCTCTACCAGCTGAAACACAAATCCATATATCTTGATTGGCAAACCCAACTTCGACATTTTTAAATGAAATATTTTATCAGAACCAACTACCGAAAGGGACATTTTATTGGACCAACTCCAAATAGCACAACCAAAGAGGACCAGAACTGACTCAAAGTTCTTACAACTAGCAAGCATGAATAGTCATATTCATAAAATCTTTAAGTTTCCTTCTTTATCATTTTTTTTTCTTGGTCTATGCACATGAAGGGGCATGGAGAGGGTGCTGATGGGATGGGGGTTTGTGGGTGGATCAGGAAGATGGTTTTTGGTTTAACTGTCCTTTTCCCTTTATTTATTGTTCAATTAGAATGAGGAAATAATTGTTATTTTATGAATGTGAGATGAACATTTTAACTGTTGTTTTGGAAGGTATTTTTTATGGAATCTAAGTGTCACAGGAATTGAAGGTTGGGAATCCAAATGTCACCAAAAAATCGAATAGGAACCCAAGTGATCCTTTAAACATTTAGTTATATAACAGCGATATAGCTATGATTTTCCCTGAAAAAACTATCAACAGAGATTAAGGACCAACTAAACACGCTTCTAAACTAAAAAAATAGTTTATCCTTTATTTTCCCATAGCCATTCGGCCAACAGTGAAAACAACGCATTTCTAAACCACGGACTGAAGCTGAAATCAAAATATTATCCTATTATTCCCCAGCAAGAACACATCACATTTCAGTTGTCACTTAAGCTCTTTATTTCATATAATCAATTAAATAAACCCCCAAAAATTGTTTTCAGAACTTGAAGGAACGAAATAAATTCAGACAGCAATAATACGAATCTCATAGGGGTCAAAATATTTTCTTTTGACAAACAAAAATAAATTAACAATAAATGAGCAAATTATTACGTTGTTCTTGGAAAAGGTAGTTCCCCTGGAGGCGAGAGCCGAGGCGATCCATGGCTTGACCTGTTTCCCTGATCCAGAATCCAACGGTGTAAATTGCTCTTCCCAATGTTCCCATCTTGTTCTTGTTCTGCTAATGGTGTAGCAGATTGTTTAGGGTTTTGACTTTAAGAAGTGGAAGTTCTTTAGTTGGGATTTGTTTTGCGGGAAAAGGCTGGAGAGCGTGTGTAGGCCACAAAGTTGTAAGTAGGAGAGTGAAAGCGAGACGAGTCGAATGGGTTGAGTAGGGACCCCCACCCCCAACCTAAAAGACCCATTTTCCATCTTTTGGTTGAATTGGTTTTCTCACCATTTTGGTGGAAAAACCGATTCCACCTTTTTTTGACAATTGGAATACATTCTATAACTAATTGTAAAAAAAAAAAAATTCATTTTAATGAATAATTTCCATGTAAAACAAAACCAAACGAACACTAAACTTTAATGAAAAATAATTTTCTTGGAATTTTTTTTTTTATTTTTTGATAATGGAAACAAATTTTATAATCAATTATGAAAAAATTATCACTTTAATAGACAATTTTCATGTAAAATAAAGTCAAACGAAAACAAAAAGATTCAAAATTTTAAAACTTTCCAGATGGAAAATTAAACCAATCAAATACACTTAATTAACAATTTTTTGAAAAGTAAGTTCTAGATAATTATTTTATCAGGAATTCATTTTCTTTCCACTCATTTTCCACCATTACAATCAAACGGACCCTCAAATGAAATTAGGGATGGCGAAAAATTCAATTAAACTTGATACTTGAGGGACTTCATCCCAAAAAAAGACCAAAATTCTTCATTTAATCGGAGGGGGGGAGAGGGGGGTGACGGTCATTACTCCAAGATGGGGCGAGACAAGAATGGGAACATTGTCAACATCTCATTTAAAATCAAATTAAAGATATAATTTTTTATCATATGAGAATAAAATAATCATCATCCGTTCTAAAAGGAATACAAATTGTTCTATAAATTGAAAAAAAAAGTAATGATTCTCACAAACTAAAGAAATAAAAAAATTAAAAGCAAAAAATATATATATATATAAAGATAAACAGAACATGGGACTTACTCTATCCTCGATCCCGCCCAAACCCTTCTCGTCATGTCCCGCCTTAATCAAGTATGTGTGTAATACCCCAAATTTCTCTTTACACACTTGGTCAATATGATTCATACACTACCTGTTATTTATATTATCATTGCATTTGCATCAATAATTTGAAATTGTTTTCTCTTATTATGATGCATTTGATCATTGAGATTTCAAGATCTCTATATGGTGTTAGTTTTCGACTCCCCAATTTAGGTGGTGAATTTTACATTGAGTTATGGTAGGAATTGACATTAATCTAGATGTTGGGTACTGATTTGTTAAACAATTGTAATTTTTAAACTGTCGAAATCATTATCTGTAAAGTTACATGCTTTTAATTCGCTTTTAAAGTTACACACTTTTAATTCGATTAATCATGGTTATCCTAAACACTAATTAAGTCTTTAACATACTTGGGATATGAGGTATGAAATGACCATGTCACAATACAATAATATAAGGTTCATGTGATGTTATAAATATTGAGGTGCAAATTAATGAAGTCGGTCGAGAATCAGGCGTCAATTCAATAAGGAATCGAATGAATAGTTAAGAAATTAAGTCTATAAATTATTGTAGGATCCTAAAACAATTAAATTAGGTTGTAGACACATTAAAATAGGTCAAGGATACTTGATTTGTACCAGCAAAGATAGATGAAATATTATTTTAATTAAAAGAAGACACCTCCTACTTAATGTTTGGTGACTTGTCATTTTAACATTTAATTCCTTCAACCTTAAGGCATCCATCAAATCTCCTAACCCCTTAGTACTTCATATAAAATAGATATATATCTTATAAGTTGCATACGGCTCCAAATATGATAAGGGAAAAGTCAAATTTTGCTGCATGAAGCTACATCTTGTTTAACACATATCATGCTTTTCAACATGGCGGCATGCAACATTTTCTTAATTCCTTAAGCAAGGATCACGACCTCAACCCTTTAAGACTCTTTATATACCTCCTCCTAAGATATTTAGCCCTTCAAGTTATTCCCAAATGATCCAAAGTGAAAGAGAAAGCAAAGGAAAGAGAGAGAAGTAGAAACAAGAAGCTGGAAACTAAATTCCTGGATAGGTGAGTTTAGCTCACAGTTTTGAAAGTTGTTTTCATTGTTTTTTAAGGTGTTACAAACTCTTGAGCCTATGAAATTGCTTGGTATTATGTTGGGGTGGAGTTGGGGGTGTTATTATGGCAAAAATAGGGATGTGGGTAGAGATATATTGAATTAAACAACTAAGGACAAAAATTGCATAGTTGTTGGATTCTGCCTATTCAACCTTTGATTATGGATAATACCTTGGGTATAAATTGTATTTATTAATATGACTGTTTTTTATATATGAGTTAGAAGTATATAAATGATCTTTAATATATTAGAATCTGAGTTGAGGTATGTTAATCTAAGTGAAACTCAAAACAGCCATAGTGAAATTTGTTATGTCTCGAAAAACTAAGACCCATGAAGGGGCCCAATTAGCCTACATAGCGAACAGTTCGGGGGCCCTCATACGCTGGCATAGGACAGCCCAGCTACATGTCGACGAACCGATTCAGGTGCGAGCGACCCGTCTTCTTTACATAGAACACCTGGATCGACCCCTTTACATGCAGACCCCATTGACAGAGCCAGCCCAGGACGAGGCAGTGGCGAGTTCTTGAATGGATCACACCATATGAGTTGACAAGATAACTCACTGCCACTACTGCCAACGCCATCCTATTTTGTCAAGTCTAAAGTACAAGCTAGGCTTTATGGACACAAAATTGGTAATAACATTTAAGGTTGAGATTAATTGATGTATATGACAAGAAAGGAAAGTCATTTGGATGAAGCCACGTGTACTATCATCCATAAACTCCATTCGTTTTGCCCGAATATAAAAGCTCGCATTTAGTGCCATTTAAAGGTAATGCAAATTTAGACTCTCAAAGCTATATTCTTGCCACACACACTTTATATTTTACCCTAAAGCCGACCCCCATTTTTTTATGCTGGAGGCTCATGTTTAAAGCTTTCCTATACCTTAAAACTACTACACCAACCGACTTGACTCGGAGTGTGCGCGGCCAACTCCACCCCTCTAAAAAAAGGTCAAGTCTGACTAACGATGTGTCAAAGGATGTAGGAATCCAACTTGCGTAGACGTGAGAGACTTTGGGATCTGTTGGCCACATCACTGGTATATCTTTTTAGGTCAACAGATTGGCGCCATCTGTAGGAATTTCGACACTATAACATGAACATCCTGTGGTAAAAGTCATTTGAAGCAGAGCCTTGAAGAAATGTTTGATTCTTGAAGAAAGAACCCCTACAAAGATAAAACATCTAAAACACCTACCTTTAGCTTGAAGCCTAATATATACTATGAGTTCTAGCAACTACGGATCGTAAGGAACGAGTAGACAACATGAGGCTTCTGAAGAAGAGGTCCTCCGAACGAATGTAAACGTGCGTCGTCCCCATCACCAACATAGACGAGGTGGAACCACAGCACATTTGGCTAGAGAAGTAGGGGAGATGGCTGCAATATATAAGAAACATGGCTTAGCAGAATGCCACCATACAGCAACTACTCATGTAAATGCATCAACAGGCGGGGTACCAATCGCTTCGGCAAGGAGTGATGCCCCAAGAGGATGAGTAAAATGACACGGCAACTTACCCCTAAATGCATAGAAGGGAGATCGACCCAGCAAAGAGGGAGGTAGAGATAGACACTTCCACCAATTTCGCAACTATCCAACCCAGAGATAACATACCACAGGAGGTAAACTTCCTCCCCGAATATGCTCAAGAGCACGAACCACAAAGGTCCACAGTATGTCGATCGAATTGGACGATCAGGGCCTAGAAATAGGTCCCATCAACTGCTTCCTATACAAAGAAGGTCGGAATGAAACCCAAAATATGAACCTCAGGTGATTCCCTTTCTCCACCTAGAAATAAGCGAAAGAGAAGAGACGGGACGAACTTGAGAAATCAAGCTGAAGCGTCACGACCCCCACATTACAAGGCAGAGAAAAACGATTCTAAGGGTCCATGCATGTCCTTTGAGTTAGATGATGATGACGAAAGCCTGCCCTTCTCCCAAAAGTTGAGAAGTGCCCCGTTCAAAACCACTTTGTACCACCAGAGATACCCAAATACGAGGGAAAATGGTGACTCGGCAAAACACCTCAACAACAACAAGACCCATATATCCTTGCGAGGGGCCTCGCCGACGCTAAAGTACAGAGCTTTTCATCTCACATTAACTGGGGTCGAAGAAATTTGGTATAGCCGAATCCCAGCTGGCAGTATGAGGAGCTGGCTAGACCTTAAAAAGGCCTTTTTGAACCAGTATTTATCTAGCAGAGAAGGGGAAGCCGCCATCTAGAGGTTGCAGGACATGAGGCAACAAGCGGATGAAACTTTGAAAAGCGACTTGGCTCGCTTCATGGATGAGATGACTTATTGTGAGTAGGCTACGGATAGAGAAGCCCTTTTTGCTTCGAGAGGAGGCCTCAACATGAACACCATATTCTGGAGGGATGTGCGAAACAAATATCATACCTCTTATGATGCATTGGTAAAAATGATGAGAAACGAGATTGTCAACAAGGAGCTGATTGATCACCGCAATCAAACCTTGCTAGGACTCTCACTACCTCAAAGACAGTGGCAAAGCCATGTATCCCACCTGGTAGACAAACAATGGAGCCAAATGGGATACATAATCGCCCTACCTCAGGCCAAGCGTTAGCTACAGCCACTCTAAATTTAGTGCTATCTTTGGCATATCAAGAAGTCAAAACTAAGGCTCGAAGTCAGTCGAATCAATCCATGGGAAGAGGCAGAGGGAGGAACATGGAGCCTAGAGATGGGCAATACTGCACCTACCATCTAACCAATAGCTACAACACTAAAAATTATCTCTCAAGGCCGTATCATAAAGAGGCAGCAAGCCCTTGTATTGAAAAAA